GATACATCTCAGCATTAATTCGATTGGCAACAAATGTTATTATCAAGTATTCAATAAAATATGATATATAATTATAATTATAAATTATTAAAGCCTATACTAGCACAAATAATAATGTACATTTTAAAACAATTATATATATATTGAAGATGATTTGCAATCCACTTACCCCTATACATATAATAGTATAATACTATCATTGTAAAAAGCATATATTTTAATAATGATAACGTTAACGCACACAATGTTCGACATAAAAAGCATAAAAAATTTAGTATTTTTGTTCTGAAAGAAAAGATATATTTAATAATACTTATCAGAATAATCTTAGAACTATGCCAGAACGATCAATATTGTTCTGAAATGAAAGTAGAACAGATATTTCAAATTTAACAGTAATGCAGCGCACGTTTATTTTAAGTCCAATTCCAGTTTATCTAAATTTGAAGTGAACTAATCGTATCGCAAATTGTGCGACGAGCGTCTTTATCAATTTGACCACTGAGGCAGTGATGATATTTATCACAATAACCAATGAATATTAGTGAAAAAATTGATATTGATTCTGAAATCGATAGTTTTATTTCGCTAACATTTTTGAAAAATCGATCTTCTGATAGAAGATAAGCGTCTACATCTCTTATGCTAATCATCGATAGATCTCTTCCTTTCTCCTTTCAATTCACAGAATCGTCGTTTTTTTGTCCCGTTTCTCATCGATATGAGTTTCAGTGAACATTTTGCGCGATCGCACATCCGGTCGTACTACCGTACCAATGATACCACACGCGTCGAACACTGATCGAGATCGGCGACGATCGATTGTTCCACAGGAAAACGAGGCAGAGAAAAGTCGAGCGACGAGCAATATATATATATTATGTCGCTCGAGGGATTGGCACGTTTATCGCGCCGACACCGCGTTTCTCCATTCTCTTTTTGCTCGACCGAAGCAGGATGAGCACCAGCGAATTGCATCAACTACCGAGAAGCAAGATGACAGTGCAAGGACTGAGAGCGCGCGTTTTGCCTTTGCGAGACCTCGCGCATCCTTATGTCGCGCTCTCCTATCTTATAGCGCGATTTATACCGCCGTAAAGGTCAGAATCATGAGCTTGCGATTTTACTGCTTATTCGCCTCCTCCGCACAATATTAGCCGCTCGCGCCGCGAGACCAAGCGATTTTAACCGCTCTCCGTAGTTACCTCCTTTGCCGCGAAGGAAAACGACGGTATACCGTCGCGCGTGTGTCGAAGCTACTTAGGACACACTGGTGAACATCGGATTCGCCTTTGTTCGCCGAGACGAGTCCTACGTTTTTATCCCCAACGTTAAATCCTTGTATCGCGTACCGCATGTACTGCAAGTTAAGTAGACGCAGGTACATTTGTATGCGCTATTCGCTTTTATTGCGATTCTGCGAAACTGTATTCCCGAATATATATATGCAGTCTGTCTATCTATATATTTGCCAGAGAATCTGTGAAGGAGAGCTCCAAGATACGCTGTATATAATTCATCGAGGGCATTGAAAGCAGCATATTCTTTGAATATGAAAGACTCAGCTATATCACACTTCTTTCAACGTCGGAAATTACTGTGTACTGCACGAGATAGAAACGTTTTCGTTACAAAAGTCGCGCTACTATATTCGAGCGGAAACCTTTTCAAGAGTCAACTCGACACCTGATACGCGCGCCTGTGAAATTATGAATCGCACGATTAAAATGCAAAGAATGCCGATCACCTTCGTTCGCTTCTACCTCAGATACAATTTTCTCACGTCGCTGTATTGATTCCGATGAGAAGTCTGGTTTAACCCCGGCTCCGAACTTCCGCCGATCGGTATCGAGACGCGAGTGGAAAAGCTAACTCGCCCTTGACCTCAGTTGTCAAAACTCGTCGAATCGCACGAGGAAGGCACCGGTCAACCCATCCCTATAGTCTTCCTCCCCCCCTCATACTAAAGGAGAACGAGCTGAAGTCTTTTCGAACCGGGTCAGGGATCTCTTCTAGCACGGCTTACTTTTTCTAGAACTGGCTGCTCGTTCCCGATCTAGAACGCGAGCTCGTGTCAAAGGTAAAGGCGAATTTACCGTTGGCCGTTCACTTTTGACGGTCGATCGTGCCGAATTCATCATGCGCAGAGTGAAAGAAGTTCGCGTGAACAATGCGCCTGCAAAAAGCACGATATCATCCAGGCTGAACGATGAAAAGAAGTAGGCAATCTCTACTTTCGCCCAAATTGAATGATCATGCGAGATGAATCATGTTCCTTCGCGTGTTCATATCCCGAGTGACTGGTGAGAGTGTTGTCGGACGCCGAGGATTTCGTTTTGCACGCATAGAAATTAGATGTGTACAGATTACGCGGAGCAATTTAAGATTAAATTATTACATAGATTTCGTAATAATCATTCGTATGCGTTTAATTTGCGATTAAACTAATTTAATGTTGATTTTCGACTACTTATCTATAATTTCTTAAATTATGTATTAAGGTATTGAACTGGATTAGACAATCTGAAGATAATATACCTAGAAAAAGAACTGCTCCATCTTATGGTAATTCGAGGGATTCGTGAGAATGTGCATGAGTAAACTCGATACGGTACTTTTCTGAAGAAAAAAACAAGGGGAGCGATTAACTCTTCCGATTTATTCATCGAGAAATGGACCGTGTCTTCCCTGCGATTATCGATTTGATTGTATTCACAACGGCGGCGAAACCCGCACTCGCCTTTCCCTTATTCGCGCACCGACCGGAAGCGCTCGTTGCTCATCGGCCGCGACCTCAAATGCGTCGCCTTCGCTGTGACGACGATGACGACGACGACCCGCGCATGTGGGTCGCACTTAGCCCACTTCGCCGACAGTCTCAAGCCGCGACATCGTCGCACCGATCGACTCGAGGCAGTCGAGGCGATCCCACGTGGAAAATTCCAGGTCGCGATCGCGCGGTAGACAGCGCGGTGCGCGCTTTCGAGATCGCACAACCGCCTCTCTTATCTTTTATCAATCCGACTACAAATCGGATCGGAGTGCTCCGCCGAGCCGGTGGCGGACTATCCGTCAAGTACAATACGCTGCACGGGTTTAGAAATCTTCGTACTTGGAAGACCAAGGCTCAAACGCTCCAATAAATAAACGATATGATTACACTCGTTATATTTTATTAGCAATTGTAATTTCACAGAGTAAAAATACGGATTATAAAATAACCCGGTGCAATTTGTACTACTTTCTCTGTGATCAGATTTACATCAATGTATATATAATAAAACAGCGCCGGTAAAGCAAGTAAATTTCTATATTGCGCAATTTTTACTTTTATTTTATTTTAAATGTTATATACTTGAGATATTTTTATCCAGCATGGATTTTCAACTTTAATTTTAATAATGAACTCTTTGTAGTATCAATCTGTTCCTAGAAAACAGACAAAGCGCTTGTAGCAATTTTCTAACATTCGACATGAAACATTATTACGAAATAAATGTGAATCTTGAGTACTTTTGCTAAACAGAGGAAGACTGCGCACGAACGTCTTGAACGTACTTCACGTGAGAACGCATTGTTCAGAGCCGTTGTGGATATATTACTTAAGGATCCCCGACGGAAATATTACAGGCTACGCGGAACTTCCTCATATGAAGAAGAATAACGGCAGAATCGCTTCCGTGCTGCCCACAAAGGAAATTAAAGTCCCTGTGTCTTAAGGGAAAAGAAGTTCCGCGAGACTCGCTAATTGTCAGACGCGCGAAGAAAAGATGAAGTGCATTAATTAATCCCGCGGGCATTAATTATGTAGCATATGCGCGTGTGTGTTTATACTTCATACACGATCAATAAAAAGTAAGAGTATATATGCGTCATTTAAAAAATCCAGCGGCTTCTGATTGCCCAAGTTCGCACCGCGAGTCTTTGAGGCACAAAATAATTTACATTTTCATGCAGATAAGTCACGTAAACTGTCTATATCTACCATGCATATCTTAAATTAAGGCGTCAGGAACAAGAGATCGTGAGAGATAAAAATTTTCATGTTTACAGGAAAGAAAACTATATAAGTTAAAGCTGAGGGTTAAACTAAAAAAATTTTCCGTTACGTATTTATCAACACGTATTATTCTGATTGATTAAAAATTATCGACTAATTTACTCGATTTTTTTACGCAATAAAAAGAAGACACAAAAAAGATCGACTTGTGAAATCACGTTATTATGTCGGAGCACGTTTCAAGATAATAGCGATTGCCAACTTCCTCGCCCCGTTCAAGACTGCGCGACGGCAGATAGAGTGTACCCGAGTGTGCTTGCTTGTTTACACGATTCCGACGAGTTTCCTCGGTGTCTTGGCGGCGGCCGAGCGGAATGGTAAAGCCCCGCTGTAATTCGAGAAATCTCGGTGCGCTCGGATCGAGTGAGCGAGCGAGCGAGCACAAGTAAGCGAGCAATGAAGGCGAACACGATGGCAAGAGAGCTGCCAATTTCGCGAACGCGCATAATTGGGGACACACGGTTCGTCCGCGTTTCAAGGAAAACACGCCGAAACACGCGCGCGAAATTATCCCGCAATCCGAGCCATAAATCGCACGAGAGATGGTAGCGGCACGAACGCGAAAACCCCGTGACGAGACGCTCGCGCCGTTCCGCCGCGCGAAACATCGAAACCGTTGCCAATTTGCAATTGCCAATTCTCGGAATCGGAAATATTTTTGGTATCCGCGTAACAAGTCGCGCTTTATACGATGCGCTCAAACGCGTCTGCTCAATCTGCTGTCCCTCGATACGGTAATCCTCGATGACGCGCGGAAGATACGCGTGAGATATATATTTGTGAGATACATTCGATAATCCTCCACGCTATTTTAGGAAGACAAATCGACGTAGTTGCGATACAAGACGAAGAATTTTATGGTATAAAGTTTATGCCAAGAAAATTACATGTAATTTCCTTAAATAAAGGTATACTTGTTTCGAAAACCCTTTGTACTCACCATCTTCAAAGTCTCCTCGGGCCTCAACAGGTAGAACATAGACTGTAAGTGTTGCTGGATATCGCATCCTGCCGCCGAGACCCGCCTCGAGGGGCGAGCTCTTTCGTTCGGCGGTAACACCAGGGCTGCGCCCTTGCCCGCGAAGTAACATTCGCTCAGACTGCAAAAATAACAAACAGTGATACTTCAGTAAGCTGTTCTGATAATGCAATTGCAAATAAAATAATCATTACTCAAATACAGGGCAATGTTTTATAACCGCAAAATAATTTAATAATACGTCAAAAAGATATTTAAAAATGGTAATTGATTGGGAATAATGATTGAGACTTTCGCTTTTGTTTTGATAAAATTATTAATCGAGAAATATAGATTGATGAGTCTCTTTATAATTATCTGCATCAACATATATCGATACATATATACACACAGATATATAATTTATATACAAGATCGTTCATTGATTAGCCGATTTTTATAAACATAAATAAAATTATTTGGCGTGTTCCTGGCAACATTTTCCTAATGCTCCTGCTATGAATCAATATGAATCCGAATAGAATATTACCAGTGTTCAATAATTTTAAAAAAATATTAAATTTAATAACAAAAGCAGCATTCAATCCACGTAAGACTTCTCAAGCGAAAAATTATCGCACTCTTATCTTGATACAATCTAGTAATAAGTATAGTACGTCTTATTCATTCTAAATCAGCGAGAAGTGTTGAACCAAGTTCAAGGAACGTTGAAACAAGGTTGATAAGGGAATAAACGAAAACTTCTTGTGTATATAGTTTGATAGTTCCAGACAGCTGTCGATGTTAATCTATAGCATCAAGATAACTGAAACACTAATCGTCTTAGTCGTGCGCTCAGCTGGTTTTGCGGGTGCCGCAATTAGTAGCTCGCGGTAGACTATCGAGTCAATTAATTAGCTACTACATGATCGACTATAAGACCGATACGAGCCCGATACGCGAAATCGTGCTCGACGAATATATCACTGAAATATTCAAAGAGTCCCCCATTCGTGTTTAACTGAAGCATAAAATGTTGCCGTTCGATCGTAATCTTTTATCATTTCAATCACTTCACAATTGATACCATCTCCAAAATAATCACGAAGAATGTACCAAAGATAAAATCAGATGTTTCAAGGCGCCTTGTATATCTCGTATTGAAGCCACTTTGACTTTACTATGTCACTATAGCAGTCACATTAACCGACATCGTTATCAATTAGTTTACTTTAATTAGGTACTTGCTTAGAATACAATCATAAATATTTATGTGAGATCGTCTGGGGAGAAATGCGTTCATGGCGCTTCGCGGTGCATCGACCAAGCAAGATTGCTTCATGAGAACACACCTAATCTACAAATCGAATCTCGCGTATACACGCATGTATCAAAGATAATGCACGAAAGGTCGACGCACTGCTACACTCCAGCCAGTTCTTCCCGCAAACTTTATTTCACATGTTTCACCCGTAAATTAACGTCGCGCGAATAAAACGCTTTATTACATATTTACGCCGCGCTTCATCATTACCGCCAACGATTGCTCACTCAACTGTCTTAGTGTAATGAGACGAACATCTTTCCACGCACGTACGCATGTGTATATACGTACGCACAGAATCTCCTCCACGACAACAACCGAGCGTCTAAATTACGTGTGTGTGTGTGTGTGTGTGTGTGTATGCATCGCGATTACCGCCGGCGGTGCCATTTTCTCATGGTAAGTAAACCGTCACACATTTTCATATGATAATGACCACTGACCAGACGACGCACACATGCCATTTAGAATACGCGAACTTCCGCTATTGTGCGCTACAATAGGAAGTTTCTCCGCTGAGACTTTACCACGGAATATGTGAGCACGCAATGTATCTATATCATTTTATTTACTGCAATATATTTGTACAACGTGCGAATAATCGTCTCCACGATCACACACATAACATTATGTTAAAGTAACATTTCGTAACTGATTCTATTGTCCTTACTATACTCTTGAGACATAAATGAGTACGAATACAAATCATGTTAATAAAAAACGCGTACGACTTTCACAACGTTCAAATATTAGATAATATTTCCGCTCTTCGTTGCACAAAATTACATTAAATATAAATAAATAAAACAATATAAAGGAAATAAATTAAACAGATAAAATGTTAACTAAAAAACTATAGTAGATATTAAGAATGAAGATTAAAAACATTTAATTTTATTTAGGTCACCAATTTCTATTCGACTTTGCACACCAAAATTTTCCTGAAGTTCGCCGATTAAATTAAAAAAATTTCGCTTTATTACCAATATTAAATATTATTTTATTGCTCGGTTTAAATGGACCAATCTCTCTCCCACAAACAATGGCCCGTATTCTGAACGCACTTTTATCGATAAATGCGCGATTTTATTTCTGAGATGCTATAGTATACGTAACATAAACTATGGCATCTCAAAAATTTTATCGATAAAAGAAAATTGAGAATATAAACCAATGGAATTATCAACATCTATTCCAGAATATTTTCCAGAATAAAATCATAAATGTACATATCAATGCTAATCACGATGAAAACGACGATGATAAACGAGCCAATGCGCGTCGAGAAACCAGGACGAAAATCTATCATCGTCTATATATATCTATCAAAATCGGCAGATCGCTATTTAATGCTACTCTAATTATGTTATCGAGAGCCACGACGATACTTTCACACGACCGGATTATCTTACCGTGACCGGTTCATTTACGCGCACGAGCTTATTAACAAATTGGGCCAAGTCAATCTCGTTCAATATTCTCAATATTCACTGTAAAGCCGATCAAATCAGCCTTCTGGTTATTAGTCCACTCGATATATAGTCTCGCACAATCAATATATACAGATTAAATTATTAAGCGAGGTATTATACAAAACTAATGGAAAATAAACTACAGTGTTCTCAAACTTGAAGCAGCTTCCTTTAATTTAACAGAAATATTGAAGAACACGAAAGTATTTCTCGTAATTTCAGATTCATTATCTGATATGTTATCAAACCACAAATGAAAACGCACTCAAAGTAAAGTAATATATTCAAATATGTTATCATTTGCAGAACACTGCATTTTTAATAACATGCAATTTATTGTCAACTATTATGGACACGCAGTTGTCTAATATTGATCAAAGATAACAAAACCAATGTTAAAAAATAAAAATAGTTTATTATCTATACATCTAAAAAAAATAAGGCTCTTAAGATATATAATCAAAAAGATAAAGTGACAGTTTAATATCGTTCTTTTGGCAGTATTAGATTGTATTAAAAAGTAATTTGAATATTTTACCTGTAAATTATTACCGTCTATCTCTAACGTACAATTTAAGTTACTCTGATAACACACTTTATCATATAAATGAAAAACTGAGTTAATCCATTCATCTTCTTTTTACATTGAAGAAATGATATATATCCTAACAATTTAATCATCACATATCTAATTATAGTCGGCATTACATCTCGTACCTACAAGTTTTTATCTTAAAAAGAAAGCTTATCTTAAAAAGAGCAATAAACTTCGCTCGTAATAAATTTCAAGAATTGCGATCTCAATTTATAGCAAAGGAAAAACAATCACACTACATGAGTGATAATTCATAGCTTTCTAATGATTTTATAATGACCAAGTACAGTAACTGCTTATTATCTGACTGTCTTATAATAGTTGTCAATTTTATCATCAAAAATTATCGCAAGGTCTCACGTTTAGTTCACTGTCGGCCAATTACCATGACCGATCTTAATTACGAAGGAAGTCTCGCGATGCACGATCGTCCTATACACTCCATATTGCATTCGTGCGCGCGCGTGTGTGTATACATATGTATATATAGATATATACATATATTGTTAAGCAAGCGAGCAATTCGCAAAACGTTAAGCAGACTCGTAGTGAGTATCGCGCGAAGACACGTTGCGTCGTAAACGTAGTTTACAACGCATTTTACAGCGGTGCTGGGATTTTTTACAGCCAGTCGCTAGCTAACGCGGAATTTCGCCCTAGTCGCCGTTAAAGATTTTCAAGGCTGTGAATCGTTCAACGCTTTACGATAGACGCGCGGGCTCGTTCGCGCAGCGGCTCGTTCGACCGCGCGGCGCATAACTGCATAATTAACGAGAATGATCGGCCAAATAAATTGCGACGGCCTGCTCAAATAACGCCGGCGCGTCTGATCTCGGGCTGGAAATAAGGGGAAACTAACACGCGCATCGAGAGAACATTTAAGTATCGTCGCTGGCACGAATGCACATCGGTGCTCACTACTATTTTCATACAGCACGAGATATTCCGTGGATATTATGAATATCAAGCTCATTAGTGAATATACTGAACTTTAAATACTCCATAATAAATTAGGAAAAGAAATTAGAATTTAGAATTTGAATATCGAGATCATTTAAGCCCATTGTAAAAAATATTTTGTAATATACAAATTTTTAATTTTTCATTCACAAAACATTTTATATAAAAATGAAAAGACAAGAGAAAGCATTTTTGTTGTGTTTTTGTGAATATTAAAAATAGATAAGAATTGAACATATGAAATGCAAAATATCAATATATTGCATTTATGCATATATTTCACGTGTAAATTTATGCTACCTAAAGATGCCTAATTAAGATATAAATAATTAAATGTAAAAAAACCTTACTTATTTTATAAAAAATGTTTACGAGTACATTTGCTTTTCTATATGTATATAGCTAATTTTTAAACAATAATTCGATTGAATCACACGTTCTATTATAGTCTCACGCATTTCTTTCCACCTGACATAAATGCAAAGATTTCTAACACATTTACAGTCATTGTTTCAATAAAAAAAAGGTGTTTCCGTAACCAGCGGCGAAACAAACTTTTCGATCATTGACAATAGATTTGAATACGGGAGGTATTTACAACAGCAGCTGATGACGCCACTATAGAAAATCGGGATAAGATCGAGGCATCTGTGCGGAGGTAGCACGGTGAAAAGAATTAATCTCGAGGCGGGGACCCCATCTTTGCTCTAACAAAACGATCTTTACCTGTCGACGTAGCCGTCGTTCAGGTATATGACCGGTACCCCTGCGTTGAATGTTGCAGGGGCGTT